TTGTGGCACTTGAAGCATGAATTGAACTTTCATCTTCATCGGAGCTGTTTTTGCTTTCCCGCCTTCATCTCCAACCTGAATGAATCCGATGCTATCAGTAAGGAATTTCAGACACTAGCTTATATCTTTCTCAGTATAAAGATGGGATACTACTTTTGGAATACTGAAAATTGGCATCAATTATAATCCGAAATATAGAAGTTCAAAGTCAACAGACAATTAGTTAATGTATGGCCACAATTAGAAATACAAAATTGACACAAGTATTTAGAGATGGCATCAATGACATTGGTTATGAAAAACAAAATAGCAAAACAAGATACATACCCAAAGGGAAGCCCAGCCAAGGCGAACCTCTGAATCATAACCGGCTTTAAATTTGAAATCTTCACCGTAAGTATGCTTGTAGACAGCACTCCAATAGTTGGAATCACAATTGTACCAGTAACTATCCATAAAACATTGTGAGACATATCAGCAAGGACACTAGCTTATTATTTTAAGGGTCTTGTTGACAAATTCCCTTAAGGGAACTGGATAAGTAACTTTAAGTACGTTTGCAAAGAAAGCACAAAAATAAGGGCTTCAATGAGTGTATTTGGCCAAAATAACTTGATCATTGATGAACTTGTTCATGCCATACCGTAACCCATCAATGTCTTCCAATGAAGAGGCAAAGAAAAAACCAACAAACCATAGCCAAAAATGAAAATTTTAACGATCAACTAGGCACAGTAAAATACCATCCATAGCTGCGCTATACGCCTATATTGCAAAGGCGTAGCGGAATTTAAACAAACTCCTATTGTTCTGCAATATAGCTATTTAGTACAAAATGTTATCAAATACTCTCTGTGTCCCAAATTATAAATCATTTTGTCAAAAAAATTTGTCTCAAATTATAAATCACCTTACATTCCCAATGCAATATTAATTATATTTCCCCAATATACCTCAAGTATTTATTATTATTTATTCTTTCAACTCTTTTAATTTCTCTCTCTTGTGTAATTATGAGAGGCATTACTGTAAAATTATACATAATTTATCTTTTCCATAAAGTAATAATTAAATTTCTTAATTCGTGTGAAATGCCTAAAACGTCTTATAATTTAGGACGAAAGAAGTAACGGTTATAGGAGTACTAGCGCATTCTTGGGCAGCGATATTTTAACAATTCACTATTTTCCATTATATGTGATTGACAAGATTGCTTTTAGGTTGGAATTAGTCAATGTATGTTATCAACCTATAAATCACAGACACCCCGAAAATGATCCCTACACTCACACGGCGATACCGATAATAATTTGAAAATTTGAATAAATTAAACATAATCATGAGTGTCGGTGCAAGTATCCAACATAGACACGAACACGGATACGTCTTTTTTTATTTTAGAGGTGTCAATGCTACATGGCTATCAACGGAGTAATTGATTGGGATAACCTGTATATTTTTGTTTTTGACTATCCCGTACCTGAAAGCAAATCCTTGATACTAAGATTAACCGGTGTCCACATTGTTGGGTTTCAAATATGAAAGTGTAAAGTCCCACGTCGATTAGGAATGGAGAAAAATTTGGGTTTATAAGAGAGGTGACTCATACATATATCATCTTAAGATTTTGGGTAAATATGTGGTGTCTCTCACTTGTGTGTTGCTCTTGACCCTAAGTGAATGCTCCTCATGATGATCCAATAGTGGTATCAGAGCCTCGTTTAAGATCCACTTGACTGCTAAGAGTCCCACATCGACTAGGAATGGAGGAAATTTTGGGTTTACAAGAGAAGAGTGGTGACCCATACCCTCATTGCCTTAAGGTTTTGGGTGGATATGTGCGTCACGATCTCGATCTCGGTATTAAAGCCGATCAATTCATGGAAATTTCCTGGAAAAAGAGTCGGTAATTCTTATAAAATTCTATTGAGGGGCATAGTTCTGATTTGCAACAAATAAAAGAAATCAAGGACTAATTACTTTTTGAGAATAATTTTTTTCTCATTGAAATTTTCTAAAATTTGTGTTCATTTATAATTAAAGGAAAGTAGAAGACTCGTGAAGTAAACAATTGTAATAGAGATAAGATGGAAAACAAATTATCAAGAACTTCAAAACAATGTTGTGCCATTACAAAAATGAGGAGAGAACTCAGCTTTCCTTTCTCCATTTTCTGTTATTTCTCTCCTACAAAACAATAGAAAATTTACTCATCCTCTAACTATTTATTTCTCTTTGTTTTGCTTTCTTCTCGTGTTCTTTTCTTTAAGAAGTGTAGTGATAAGGGAAATGTTAAAAGCAAAGAAATGTAGCCAGGAATGACAGGCAAGATTTGGTTGAGTTGTTTTGGATGGGTTCGCCGTTCCTAAGTCTATATTTTCTTTCTTATCTAAGTTGTTTGGATTTCATGAAATCCAAAATTGTCTTGTAATAAGAAGCTAGGCTGAGTGGTTTCCACTTTTGTTATCAGTAAAATCAGTTGTATCGGATTTAAACCAAATGTTAGCACAAGTTGACAAAATAAGAACACAACATTTGGAAGGATGATTTAATTGGATAGATGAGAAATAAATGCAAGTAGTAATTGGAAAAATATAAATGGAGATTGTTGTAAGTTCTAACCTTAACTTGTCAGAAGGACCAAACCTACGCTTGAAGGCAAATGACAGAGCATTTGAAGGGAGAGAAAGTGTTGGAAGAAATGACATTTCGTCGTCCTGCATTTGTTATAAACATTGAATAGTAATCTCAAGCTGCATTTGTTATAAACATTGAATAGTAATCTCAAGCGCAAGAACTGTAAGAAAGTACCTTGTAGCGATATCTTAACTTGAATTCTTCATCCTTGTAGTGGGCAGTGCAGAGACCCTTCAAAAATTGACCTTTAAGACTCCCACTGACTGACAAGGAGTTTTTGACTTGTTCCTCCTCCTCAAGATGATTTATCTCTTGTAAGGAAATTTCACCTTGAGGAAATTTGAAGGTCGCTTTGGGCTGCGAAATGAATGAAAATGAAATGATAGTAGATGCAAAGAAGATGAAAGGTGGAAAAGAAAACAAGATACCAATCCAGTGGATGGAAGCGGTGTTGATAGTTGAAGTGCATAGCCAGGGTTATCAAGGTTTGCAACCATGGTAACCTCTCCTTGTTGAGCCTTAATAATCAAGAAAGAAAGTCAGAAGATAACATATAGAGTAGGTTATTCAAGAAAGAAAGTCAGAAGATAACATATAGAGTAGGTTATTCAAGAAAGAAAGTCAGAAGATAAGATATAGAGTAGGTTATTCAATTCAATTCAATAAACGTGAGCGAGCAGTACTGACCTTGACATCGTGAGTACCTATGAGTTTCAATTTGGGACCAACATCAACGGAACTCTTAAGGAGAGCACTGTGATCTTCAAGGTCGTAGTGGAGAGTAAGGTACTTGGATACGAAGCTGATCTGAGGGTCGGCGATCTCGCCTTTACTGTTATTATGGAAAGCCAACTTCAACTTGGCAAGGCTGTCCAAAAACTTACAAGAAATTTTATGGAAGAAAACGGTGCTTTCACTATCGAACTCAGTGGTGATTCTCAGGGCGGGCCTCTTCGGAAATGATAAGATGGGTCGGCTGTGAATATGATTGGTTGGCGGAAGAGGCTGAGGATCAACCTCCGGAGAGTAATTAGGGTTTCCCGTAGGAGAATCCATCTCCACCGTTCACTCGCTCAAATCTCCTTATCTCACTCTGCAACACTAAACTTCAAATCACCACCCCGCGACTCTATACACTGTGGCCCACCGCCCCGCGGCTTTCCTTCATCAACAAATATAATAATAATAGTAATAATAATAATAATAATAATAATGGCTAAGATATTAATTAAGAACTTAAAAAAATATTAACCAATGCGTTTTTTTTTTGGCTAAAAATAGAAATTTCAAATTCTGCAGCATTTTGGCAACAAAATTCACTTGTTTCATCATGAGAATATTTTAGATCACCTCATTTTAATTTCCCTACCTCATCATAATTAACTCCTATCATACACCTTCATTAATCACCACTTGATCTTTAAGCTACTAGCTATCAGCTAACAACAAGTAGGGTGTGTTTGTTTCAAGGATTGAAATTACATTCCCGAAAATGTGATATTAAAAATGTAACAATCCGATGTTTGTTTCAAGTTTTTAAAAATTATTCTCAGATACTTTTTATTCTTAAGAATGTTGTTTGTATATAATTCTTGTCATACTTATTCACGTATAAAGTATAAAGGATGAAAATTTAACATTCTCATGAGAATAAACTCAACTTCTTATAACTTTTCACTACTATTCACATATTATATTTTTTACTTTTTTTATAATTTTTAAATTAAATAAATATGTAATCATTTCTAAAAAATGGAATTTTTATCCAAACACATAAGTAAAAGTATTATCCTTAAAAATAATAATTGAAGGAATATAATTCCAAAAAGTATTGTTTTATAACTCTATAAACTAATTTTAACAAAGAGAGCCTACCTATTCTTTCCAACAAATGTAGACATGCAACTTGTAATCGCATTTGAACTATGAATTTAACCATTCAACTGCAATAAAAAACATAAAAGAAGATAAACAAATTTCCTATTTAAGATTTGATTAATACAAGTAAAATTAACGTTGTAGGAGAGGCCATATGTCATTTTGCCATAGGCTCGTGAAATAATCTCATTGAATCAAGTGATGTGTTTTTGTGAAAATGAATGAAAATAGTTTTGAAGTGGTTGAATTAGGTTAAGTAAAATAAAAAGAGGAGAATTGGGTGGGGTCCGTATTTGAAGGAAAATTGAGCGAGATTTGATAAGGAAAAGGTATAAGCATTTTATATAGGATTGATTCTGTTTTATTTTTGAACGGAAGAGATTGGAGAATTATCTATCGTAAAGAATATATATAAAATAAAAAAGAGAGAGAGAGGTTGGAAAAAGAAAAGGTTGGAGGGGAAAATCGAGGAAAAGGAAGAAGGAATGAGTGCTACTACTACTATCTCTCTAACTCTCGTGGGTGTTGGTTATTATCTTTCTCCACATTATTATTCTTCCAACCCAAACCCTAATTTCAATGCCTTCTTCTCCTCCTCCACCAACCCTAATTTCAATGCCAACAACCCTAAACTCAGACCAACTCTCTCAACTAGGACCACGGTAATTCTATATCTTTTACTTTCATTTTATTTTTTAATATGCTTTCTCTTTTTCACTTGCTTATTTCTGTTCTTTTAGCGCGTTTATGGACATGTCAATAGAGATCAACCAGATTACCAACTTGAAAATGGTTTAGGGTACTTTGATTCCGAGGAAGAACCAGCCACTCTCGTTCGAAATCAGGTTCAAACCGTCGTCCAAGGATCACCCTCCACCGGCCCATCCGAATACGACCCTGCTCCTGATGTTGATTATCTACAGGTTTCTATCTCATTTTTCACTTCCTTTTTTGCCATTACTTTTACCCATTCAAATTTAATATATTCTTTTTTTTATCTTTCCAATTTCCACATGTTACTTAAGTATTACATACATTCAACAATCATATAAAAGAAAAGTGCACTTTTATAATCTTTGAAGCAACCTCAACTCTCTGCTAGACATTCAAATTGATTTGTTACAGGAGTTATTGGCCATTCAACAACAAGGACCTAGAACTATTGGCTTTTTTGGAACACGGAACATGGGATTCATGCACCAGGAACTGATTGAGATTCTTAGCTATGCTATGGTTATAACTGTAAGAAATGCTTGTCTTGACAGTTCCTATCAATATGTTTCACAACTTAATATGCCTTCATTGCAAATTTTGCTTTATAGAAAAACCACATATACACATCTGGAGCATCTGGGACAAATGCAGCTGTTATCCGGGGTGCTTTAAGAGCAGAGAAACCAGAATTGCTTACAGTTATATTACCCCAAAGTTTAAGCAAACAGTCTCCTGAGAGTCAGGAGCTGTTATCCAAGGTAAAATTAATGTTTTAAGTTTTTATACTAAGGCTTGAATTTCAAGTTTTCTTATCAGAGTTATTAATCCTAAATAGCAGAGCGGCGCAGCCGACCCAATAAATGGTATAGTGAGATAGCCGGATAACTTTTTGGACTAATTATATGAATAATCCACCTTTATATTTAATGTAGATTAAATAACTTTTTGAATAAATTATATGAATATTCTACATATATTAATCTCAAAATCAATATATTTTAAAAGAAAAAAAAACAATGATATGAAAGAAAAAACAACCTGAAAATGAACAGAAAAACAATGAATAGTGAAGAACCGGATCGAGAACGAAATAGAAAAGCAGAAAACAGAAGTAGAGAAGAAGAAGAATAGAGAGAAGCTTGAAGCAGTTGAGGCGGAGGAGTTAGGGCAAGAGAAGCCCCGAGTGAAAAATGCGAGAAGCAGCAACCAAAAGAAACACGATGGAGAAAGGTGAAAACGTGAATAAGAGAGGAGAAAACACAAACGACTATAATAAATTTTCCAATTTTAAAATTTGTAAGGCTAAAAAGATCTTTTCGCACTCCAAAAAAGCCCTAAAAGCAGACAACAGCTCCGGGCCGAGAAGTGCTCTGCTCCCGCAACCCGCTATCCCAGTTTTCCCGGCCACTATCCAAAACTTGGATGTGCGCCGCTCCTCTGTAACGGATGGTTGCCGTGCCAGGAGAGGATACCGGGATAGCGCCTGGAGTGGTTGCAATTAATAACTCTGGTTCATATAATCTTTTTACATAGGATTATTTTAACTTTGTAGGTTCATTTGCTGAACACCTGTCCTTTCTCCCTTCCCATTTGTCATGTTTTTTTTTAATATGTATTTTAAAGAATAAGTTGGAGGTAGATAAGATTAGAGACTTCTATAGAAATAGGATATGATGAGGACGGGATAAAGTCTTGTCTTATCCTTGTTTGATGTGCCCATGGTATGTAACAAACTAGAGAAGATATATTATTTACTATATTATTTGAAATAAACCAAATAATGATGTAATAATATATGTTAGTGCCAAAATTCCCCTTGTTGCAAAATTATATTTAATTTGTTAAATTATTTAAATTAATTTTTACATTCTGAATATTAATTTTAAATACAGTATTTTTATTTCTATATATTTCTTATTGATTTTTAGATCATTATATGAAATGATATGTAACCAAAAATAAGATTATATAAAATGATGTATTTACTCTTATGATTAAATTACTCACAAGTTTTAATAACTTATTTATATTAATTTAAATTAACATAAATATATATATATATATATATATATATATATATATATATATATATATATAATATTTAATATCAATTCTTTTATTTTTATTTAAAACATATTTTTGAAATTATTTAATGCTATATATGACCCTATATTTAATGCTCCTGGCGGGGAATAGTGATCATCCACATGTATAGGAACCCCTTTTAGATTCCTATTATTTTCTATTATTTATCTCATTATCTGGACTGCCTGATACAAACCGGATGAACACTAACACATGCTATAGAAATTTAGGTTTCATGCTGCTTTGTCTCCTAGTTTGTATATAATGTGCTGTTCTTGATTGGAAACTGAATTTATCTTTTTTTCCATTGTTTTGCTGCGATTTTAAGCTCTTTAGGTCCTTTGGACATTGGCTATGCCCTATGATCTTTTGTGGTTTTGGAACTTGTGACTAGAAGCTATGGTTTTGGCACTCATAGTTTGTATATAATGTGGCATTCTTGACCAGAAACTGGATTTATCTCTTTTTGCATTGTTCTGCTGCGATTTTTCGTTGGAATAAGCTCTTCAGGCCCTTTGGACATTGGCTATGCCCTATGATCTTTTGTGGTTTTGGCACTCAGTGAATAGAAGCTATGGTTTGTGTGGAATTGTTTCACCTTTGCTGCTATCTGGTGTTTACAATAGCCATAGCTGGAAACAGACATGGCTGGGAAGAGAAATGGGCAGAACCACAGAACACAGACCAGAGCATGTCTGTTTCTGATTATGGATATTTCTTTGTTAGACCTACAGAGAAATAGTTATGTGCTGTTACATCTCAATTTCAGTTGCTTTCTTTTGTTGCTTTGCTGTGAGGATGTCTTGTCCTCTTTCTTTTTACTCGCTTTTCTCTACATGCACACTCACCCTTGTTCCAAATAACCTTGGACTAGTGTAAAATACTCAATTCTATTTTTTGATTGAAATTTTTATGCTCCTTGAATATGGATCTTAGACACTTGTTAAGGGCTGTGCAGTCTACAAGATTCCCAGTATTGTGGTCGAGTTTATAATCGTTAGTTGTAATTCCTATGGTTTTGTTGAATGTGCAGGTGAAAAATGTGATAGAGAAGCCCCTTTGTGATCATCTGCCTTTATTAGCAGCCAGCAGGTTTATACTACTAGCTTTCTCTTGCCGTCTTTCATTTTGAAATGATTATACTTTCACAGGCTTTATACTTACAAACCCTACATAAACTCTCACTCTCATGCAAGGCAGCAAGGGTGAGAGTTTGTCAGAATAGTGCACGAGTCTATCACTGTATAATATATGAGGGATTTGTGAGTTCAAATTTTGTGCATTTAGCATATAATTCATTTTATTCCTGGAAAAATGAAATTAAACTGAAAGAAGGGGTCTTCTAATTAGGTAAAGATCAGACGAATGTCATCTTTTAATACTTTATTTGTGGCATTTAACATTTTTTCTGAAAAACAACAAATAATTTCATGTGTAACAATTTACTTAACTATATTATGTATCTCATCCTCAATTCATAATTTATAAATGGGTGAAATATTGTCCCCATAAAATAATCACACTTTATAGTTCCTACAAAATTATTTTGCAAGTATTTATAGTTCTGCTATTGAGTCGGCATATCTTTTTTAAATGTATTTTGCAAAAACATGTACTTTTGACTGATTTCCAGATATGTTTAGAACATTATAAAAAGTCCCTCCAAAAAAAGGATTTCAAAATCTGATTTCTATTTCCAAATTTCTTACTTTTATCTCGATATTTTGATGCTTAAATAATTCATTTTTAATTCATCTCATGTTAAAAAGTTCTAATTTTTTATAAAAAAAACTTTTTATAATATTTTAAACATGTCTGAAAAAATAATAAAAAAGTATATGTTGACTCAAGATTAAGGACTAAAAAAACATCATGCATGATAATATATTTATAAGGACTAAGAAGTGTGACTTTTAATAAAGACTGGGTTTGGTAATTTTATGAAGATTAAAACCATATTAACCATTTATAATTTACAATACATGCATTGTTATTTGTTTATTTGAGGTAAAATGGAAATAAAAGTTAATTGCTTAATTCCAAACCTAACACTTCCCCAAGCATGAATTTTTTTGTATGTAAACCATCACATTATGAAATGGACATTGTGAAATGGGGTATGATATTGTAATACATTATGTCTGTAAGAATACACAATTGTTTCGCACGTTTAGCTAACGTGACTCCTGTAAATTGATATTGGTAGAAACTGCAACTAGCTTGTAATGAAAATTTGGAGCAAACTATGTTGTCATAGCACAGCTTGTAAGTTCTACTGTTGTTTGAATTGCAGGCTATGTAATATGGACATCGTTTCACGTGTCCAGCAAGTCATTTGCTTTGCTTTCCATGACAGTAGGTTGCTGATGGAAACTTGTCAAGAAGCAAAGAATTTGCGGAAAATTGTGACTCTCTTCTACCTTGACTGAGGCAATGTGTATACATTATTTCTCTGCCTAAGTAGGGGTTGGGAGGGTAGTGCTTATTTTTTGTTTTGTAATTATAGTATTTCATTATTGCTTTAACTCACCTCTTTAAAGTTAAGTTAGAAAGGTAAACTTGATCACATTCTTGGAGAATGGTTGTAGACTTTTTCATTAACTTAGGACGTTGTCCTTATATTTTACTCAACTCTATTTTGGATAGTGTGCATTTCTGCCACACAAATTGATTGGACGCACACATTTGAACTGCCTAAATTTGGGGAATTGCTCATTACACTCTTATATGCATTTTAGGCCTTTGAAATTCGAAATTCTTTGGATGCATCCAAATTACATCAAAATGTGCTATTATGAGATCCATCCTATTTTGATCAAAACATGGTCCATAGATGTGTATATTGTATATTATTTAGGTGTATCTTGAGATGCATGTCTATGAGAAAAAATGAGAATAAACACAAGTGAACGGCTTTAGGATCTATGTCATTACTCTTAAACTTATCAGCGAATTGCACAAAGATAGAGAGGTGTGAATTTGGATCCTCTGCCGGGTTTTAAGAGAATTGGTTCTACTGTACTATCGGCAACAAATAAGGTTTTAGTTCGAAAGTATTTATTGCTATGGCAGAGCGAACAATGCTTGAGTGAGGCTTTTCTTTTGAGGGCACGACGAAATCCTTTAAGGGGACGTTTGTCGTTCTCAGCCATTTCTCTTTGAATTTGTTGTAGTCAATATCTTATGTGGTGGCAACGCTCGATTTCATCAATTGGTTGAGCAGGATTTCCAATGCTTTTAGTTATTCGCATACAACCGAAAGTGAGGAAAAAAAATTAATAAAAATAGAAAATGTGCCTTATTCTATATGGTGAAACAATGAAATTACAATATTTAAATTTTTGGTCTTTGATAACGGCGTCAAAAACTTGATAGGCCGTATGTATACAACTATATCAATGCAATATAAAAGATACTGTGTCCACGGAAACTAAATGACAAGTACCATGTGTATATCTAAGGGTATATCTAAGGCTTTGTGAGACATATTGTTTATGTAAAAAAATAGAAATAATTATTTAATTCAATAATAAAGAAGAGACCGAAACTATGCAGCACCTAATCATAACAAGAATATTCTTATTTATAGAAAATACTAAACTAGTAGTAACACCCATTTTTGTCTATGCTTCATCGAACTTTAAACCCATAAATTATCGGCTTTCGCAATAAATATTGATCTTAAAAATTCTTTTACAAGTTATAAGTAACTTATGGATTAATTTAGAAACGCTTTCATAATATAAAAATGAAAAGTCTTAATTTCTAAGTTGGATACCGTTTTCTCCCTTTCAACACGTAAACGACATCTCGACGCTCTTATTTTTGTAGCGAGTCTTTTCTTTTAAAAAGATAAACTTTAGTATTGTCTCGATCAATTATGATTTGCTTTTGCATTGTCATCAGAACCTATCGTTCGAGTTTTTATATCATATACTGATCTTTCCGGTTGATCAGAACCTGAAGTGGGACAGAGACTTCGCCTGCGATGCTGAAAATCAAGGATGAGGGGGTGTACCTGCAAGACACTCTGATGTTAAAGTAAGAATCATGAGATGAGAAGGCAAATACAAATTAAGTGTTTTTTAGGATGGTTATTGGATACTTGACCCTCTCAAAGGAGAGGTTTTTTATAATGCCCCCAACGCTTGGTCATTGATCCCTATTTTCGTCCCGAGATAATCGTTTCCCAAAAATAGGTAATTGCCATAACCTAGCCGTTGAGACGGACAAATGTGCTCGGAACTAGTCGTTGCTTTGAGGAGGGACGTGGTCGCGGGCAAAAGCGTCCTAGTCGTTCTTGGATGGTTGAACCGTGCGCGACGGGCAGAGATGTAACGAATGACATATGATCCTGGGGGTCAGCTGGTCAGCCCTCTACGGCTGAGGGGCAGAGTAGAAAATGCTTTCCGTTGCCCTTAACTGGCATGGCTTAGGCTATTGGGTCGTTCTAGGTGCATAAGAGGATTGGGCCATGTCTAGCCATTAGGCCAGTCCAGAACATGAGCCCCATGAGTCGTTGCTCCTGAGCATATGAGTGATGACTTAAGGGCATCCTGTGATCCCGAGAAGGAGTGAGCGTGGTCGAAGCTTGTTACTGAAGCGAGGTCATTCGTGGTGCTCGAGGATACATGTGCCCGAGGAACCTGGAACATTGTCCTACGTGTCCGGCGAGCGGGGAGCCCAACGATTGATGGGACTTGAAGGGATAGGGTGCCACGCGCTGCATTTAATGCGTAATGATGGCTACACTAGGGTCGTAATGATGGCCCTACGTCGCGCGTGCTCGTGAACATGCCTCTAATTTGTCTATAAATAGAGGGAGGGAACGTTCATTTTCACTTTTCGCTTCTCTCTCTTCTTCTGCTGTTGTCGTCGTTTCCGCTGTTGCAACACTGTTGCACGAGCACCGAGCAACCTTCATTAACCATAGTTGTCTTCTCTTCGACCACGTAAGTTTCTGATCCTTCTATGTTTTACGCAAGTTTTAACCTTATTTTGCTTAAATTTGCATGCGGTTATGACGAGAAACTGAGTAGAGTAGGTGTATTCCGGTGGATGTTGGTGTTTGGCGGTGGTTGAGCCATTTTCTGCCGCCGACGCCGTCTTCGGAGTGTTAGGACTTTAGGCTTTCATGTTGGTTCTGGAACAGTTGTGACGACAAATGAGTTTGTCGTCCGTGGAGCTTATGAAGCCACCGGTGTACTCATGAGTTTTCTGGCATGTAGGCAAAATACTCAATTTGAGATGTAAGATTGCAATGTCGCAATCGTTTTTTGAGGCGTGACAACTACCGCTCCTGGTGCTACTTTTTTATTTTTATATTTATCCTATGAAGCTTAAAAGGAAGAGGAAGATATCTTAAATTAACCCTGCGTGAAAGTGTTTTCCCTACAAATGCGAAGAGATATGAAATTGGGGTTGGTTATACAAAGGAAAGTTATTAACATCCAGAGTATCTATAGTAATCAATAGGAACCTTGATTTACATCTGTTCTTTGCTGTTTGAATTGCTTTCTTGAGTCTATTTGCTGTCAAGTGAGGAAAATTTATCCTTTGGGAGGTTGAGAAAATGTTTTTGTTGTTTTAGGATTTTTCTATTGTTTTTGGAAAGGTATCTGGACCTAAGGTTTTTTATTATTGCGCTTGCTAAGATTTTGCAATCTTATGCCTACGTATTCTAAAAACGGAAACTGAGAAATCAGAGCGTTCGTAGTTCTTCCTATTCTATGGGAGGAAAAATGTTTGGTGTCTTGTTGCAAGCTCAAGATTGAAGTTAAAAGTGTTTGTGTCTTGTTCAAAGCCCAAGATTGAAGCTACAGGAATATTTGTGAGAGAATTTGTCATCTCTAAAGGGAGATATCTCACCTATTCTTCACAAATATTGAGGTTTTTTTATAAGGGAAGTTGCTTTAACTGGGATATATGGAATCCAACAATGCCACATCTTCCTTTATAAGAGAATTGAAATGTCATGAAGGAAGAAGCTTTAACTCAGTGTAGAGCCATGCCACTTGTTCCTTTATGAATCTTTGTATACTAAGAGAGGTGCATTGGCTTGGATGTGTTCCAAAGGTTTTCCATTTACATTACTTAGATGAAAGAGAACTTTGTCCATGATAAAGGAGGAACTCCAGCTTGGATTTTGAATCAACAAGTGTGCCACTTGCATCAATTATCTGGAAAAGAGTTTAATTTTCTTGTTTTGAAATGTGATGTATAAAGGGAATATTCTCTTACAGAGAGAACTCAGAGTCTCATCTAGTGGGGATGTTGAATTTTGTGCCTTCATCAAAGCCCAAGGTTGAAGCTAAAAAAGGGGATTGAAAACTGACTCAACTAGGGGAGTATTCTACATGTCTTGTATAAAGCCCAAGATTGAGGCTGATTGGGGAAAATTCTTATATGAAGTCTAAGAGGAGGTTGAAGGAATTTAAGTGGAGACTGACTCTTGCTAAGGAAACTTAAATCCAATAGCAGGTTCTAACTGCTCTGAGGAATCAAAAGAGAAACTGACTCCTGCTGGAAATTAGAGGAGAGTTGGATTTATTGAACTGCCATAAAGGCTTTGTTTTTTTAGGAATTTTTTGATTGTAACCTAAACCTTGTTGGGGATTTTAAGGTGCAATTCAAACTTTGTTGGGGATCAGAGGAGACTCGAAGGATGAGTCTGAATATTTTAGAAGTTTTGACTCTCCTGAAGGTTGGTGTAGGGATATGGAAGACTATGGTTTATCCTATGCTTTTAGGAAGCCTGAGGGTCCTTGTATGAAGACCAAGAGGAGGCTAGAGATGCTTTTAGGAAGCATGTGGGTCCTTATATGAAGCCCAAGAGGAGGCTAGAGAATTTAGACTGTCCAAGTCTTAAGAAGAGTTCAAGAGAGGTTTCACCGGGAAATAATCCTTTCTTTGTTGAAATGTTCCAAGATTAAAAGGGTAAAAGGAGAGGTTTCACTGAAAATTAATCCTCTCTTCATTGAAAATTTTCAAGCTTGAATCAATTAAACAAAGCCCAAAAGGAGGCTGGCTGCATTGGGAAGAAGAATTCCTTTGTACAGGGGGTGCTAGTTGTTTGAACTAAGTTATACTGATTCACAATGATCCTATTGTTTGAACTAGTCTAAACTAAGGATGATTCAAATGCTAAGAGAAACTTATCAAGATATGTACAAGCATATATACAGAGATATGAACAAGTATATAAACAAGTATGAATTGAATTGAAAAAGATGATGGGCCTTGTACTTTGGATAGAGGCCCAAGTGTATTGTGATTGATTTGATGTTTTCTTCAAGACTAAGTTAGGATTTTGAGAAATTAAAGAAAGTTTTGACTTTAAAGATGACTTGATCTTTAAGTAAACAAAGGTGTTGGGTCCTACACTATAGATAGAGTATGGTCTTACACTCTATCAGAGGCCCATGGTTAT